TCAGGGGGGTAGGAGTTACAGAGGTGCCATGAACGGTTTTTGTTTTAACTTTGTAACATTTTGGTGCTTTTCCTTTTTACCACAAATGAGACAGAAAAGGAAAGAAGATTTCGATTTATTTCTCAGTCAGACTCTCCCTGGATCCTCCCTCACCCCTAATAGACAGACCCCCTGCTTAGTGGATGAGTGCTTTTAGCATTGTGCCACCTGGGCTCTTCAAATTCCTCTCGACTTCAGATTATTTTTTTAGCAATGCACTTAGCCCAAACTTCTCATCTTCATAGTTGATTTATACATGAAAACCAGCCCCAGAATATGAAACATTCACTAGTCAAAATTCTTAATGACTAAGTTATTTTTTTTTTAAAAAAAAGAGGATGTCTTTTAAAAATATAATTCATATCCAGGACTGGCCACAGAACTTAAAAACAAAGAGGAGCTGGTAAGACTTAAGAAAACAAAACCAACTCTGAAAATGTATCTATTTGGCTGGAGAGGCATCGATCCATGAACGCGTCTTCTATCAAAGGTTCTAGAGCTGCCACTTCACGCGCTCAAAATGGAAACCAGGTAGCTGATGTCCTGATAGGCTCTCTCTCGGCAGGTTCGAGCCACTGCCTGACGGCCTAGGAAGTGAAGCCTCGATGTCTAACCTGCTTTCCCTCTGAGCTTCCCCGTCAAGGCTGTGTCTAGCCAGGCTACTGGATTGATTGTGCTTGGAATGACTCAGAGAGACTTGAGCAGTCAGCAGAACGGAGCCACGGTCCAGAAATCATGGGAGAGTAAGTGATCATCATCATTGGAATGTGTATTTATCTTGATCATAAAAGAAAAATAAAACCTATCATATCACACTAGTCCTCTGCCATAAAAAGAAGTGAAGTCCTGACACAGGCAACAGCGTGAATGAACCTGAAAACATTGTGCCGGGTGAAATAGGTCGGTCACACACAGATGGTATGTGACGAACAGGCAGATGAATAGAGACCACAGTTTCTTACTGGTTGCCGAGGATGGGAGGGAGAGAGTGGGGAGGTCACTGTTTAGGGATCACTGGGTCCCTTCTGTTAATGTGGTGGAAGCATTTGGAAAAAGGACATGGGGATGGCTTCAAAACATGATAAATGTAGTCAATGCCATTAAACGGCATATGTAACATGATTGAATCAGCACATGCTTTGTTATATGCGTATTCACCACCAAGAGCCCTGGTGTGTAGTGGTTACGTGTTGAGCTGCTAATCTTGCGGTCAGCAGTTCCAAACCACTAACCACTCTGCTGGAGCCAAGACGAGGCTTCCTAGTCCCGTAAAAAGTTGGGTCTCAGAAACGTACAGGGGCAGTTCTACCCTGTCATACAGGGTCGCTACGAGTGGGCATTGCCTCGATGACAGCGAGTTTGGTTTCTGAATTGATTCTCCCCACAATAAAATAACTTAAGAAGAATAGTAAAGGCACAATAGTCCATCGCATGCACTGCCCAATCCTACGCTGCCCATTGCCTTGCTACCCAACACTACCAAATAGACATTGGGGAGCTGGGTGTGTGGCTGGATGAGCTCCACAATGATCTTCCCCCGGGAGCCTTTTGCTGGGTCACAGTCAAAATGAAAGCCCCACCTGCAGAGGTTTACTGTGCATAGACTAATGCGCATTCACACTTTCTCCATCCCAGAGTGCTTGGGACAAGGATACTGAGATATATCGCTATATGATCACCAAAGAAAATGTGATTCAGGAGTTTCCACCAGACTTTATGTCACCAGAAATACAGAACAAAAGTTTTAAGCACAGGCAACTATAGGATGCCAGACATTTAGACAGTTGGGAAGAGTCTAATATCTGTAAGGTCCAGAAAAGCTGGTTGGAAAGTGAAAAATTCAGTGCGTTAGGCTGTTTGATCGATACAGAATCATTGAATTCGGGAGTTGATCTGATCACCAGTTTTAGTGATTTTCAATCAATATTCCCTAGCACCCAAAGGTTCCTTGAAAGTTCACAAGCCTCCTTCAAAGCTGTCAGCAGGCAGCTAAAGGGGAAGTCCCAAATACCCAACAGGTTAAACCAGCGCTTCTCAACTGTGGGTCGCAACCCCTTGGGGTGGTGGTGGTGTCGAACAACCCTTTCACAGGGGTCACCCGATTCAGAACAGTAGCAAAATGACAGCGATGAAGTAGCAACAAACACTATTTTATGGTTGGGGGGGTCACCACAACAGGAGGAACTCTATGCCAGGGTCGAGGCATGAGGAAGGTTGACAACCACTGGGCTAAACAGAGACCAAAGAGCAGAAGTAAAAGTAACACAGAATAGAATAAGCTTACTCCCAGGGGGTTTTGTTTTTTCTTATGCACAGTGAAAGCAGCGAGGTGCATATTTTGTGATACCCTGACAAGTTTCTTTTGCTAATTTGGTGGGATATGGCCTATTGAGATCTCTTCATATTAAATGCTAATGAAAGGCCTATGAATGGAAAACACACCACCATTGGCTTCATGTTGGTCAAAACTCTCACTCAAAAACTCACTGACATTCAGTCAGTTTCAGCCCAGTCACCCAACAGGGCGGAGTAGAACAGACTGTTGGTTTCAACCGCCGACCAGCAGTTAGCCATCCAATATGTAAGTCCACTACTTAACACCCTGTTGCTGGGCATCCTTTCTTGGTATCAATGTTTCCTTTTCTGTGGGCACATTTTGATGAAAACTAAACGAGACTGAGAGGCGATCTCCTTAGTCATGTGGACAGTTGTCTAGGGGTAGCATTGTTTAAGTCTTCAAAGGTCTTAAATGTAATTCCGACTTCTTGCCTTTGCCACTTTACTGGAGGCTCCCTGTGGAGACTGCTCTTCTAAGTAGACAAGTTAGCTGTCACGGGAAATCGAACGATGACCCTAGTGTCCAGTATATGATAGTTTTCCTTGGACGTTTCTTGGGAGGGAACATTAATGTTGTCAGTATGCAGAGTTTGGGCTTGACAGTGTTGGCCTGTAAGTAAAAGGAGATGTGTTTTCCATAAATGTGTAAAATGCTGTATTTTAATAGGAAAAAGTCAACTAGCATTAAGAATGGAAAGGGCATGTTTTCTGAGTCTGTCTCAGCGATAATGACCTTAAAGCCAACAATTTATTCATAAAGATAAAATGTTTTATTACAACTTGATTGCATCACCTGGCTTTACAATGTGGCATTATGTTTTATGAGGTCTGAAAGAAAATGGAAATGGGTGGGATTAAGCCAGCAAATTAGCTCGCAGCCAGTGAGAGTTGTATATAGCTACACAGCAAACACAGGCATTTGGTGAAGAAAGTTGGACCAAATTTCAATTCTGTCCAGTATCAGTGATAGCTTTTTACAAAGTACATTCTTGCTCTGGAGAAACTGACTAGCAACTTGCGTTCAGTGATGAAATCTTACCTTTCCCAGCTCCTGCTCCAGGCCACCCTCCTAGGGCAATGTAATCCTTATTCTCAATTTTTGGATTGACCATTCCCTGGCCTTTTAAGAAATATTATTGACATACATATGATTTGGTAAACTATTTCTTAAGAGTAGGGTGTTACTCAGCCCATGATCCCTAAATAGCGTGATGGTTTCCATCATGAACACCACCATTGCACGATGGAAGAAACATGTGATTTTCACAGATGCTTAGAGCCTTGAATGATTGGCTTCAAATGTTGTCTTCTTACAGATCAGTTTGAAAGAATTGAGGCAGAGGCAAATGTTATTTAAAACATAATGGAACATTGGATTTGATTCAATCAATTAGCCATTTAATATTTGAGTCCATAATAATTTTTAAAAGATCTAATACTTAACAAAAATCTTCCATGATTTTACTGAGTGAGTTCTGTTCCTAAAGCACATGGGTCCCCTTAGGGCTTCAAATTATTGCCCTAAGTCAGTACCCAGAATCATAAACTTGATGTTGTGTTTATTGTTAGGTGCCATTTTTGACTCATTTCCGACTCATAGCGACCCTACGCCTAACAGAATAAAACACTGCCCAGTCCTGCACGGTCCTCACAATCGCTTTCCTGTTTGAGCTAATTGTTGCAGCACTATGCCGATCCATTGTGCCCAGGGTCTTCCTCTTTTTGCTCTCTTACTTTACCAAGAATGATATCCTTTTCCAAAGACTGGGCTCTCCTGATGTGAGAGACAGGTTTAAAAAGCAGAACGCTCTCTCCTCAACCATTTCTATGGGCCCTGAAGCTTGGTGGAACTTTGAAATAGTGGCTTATCCCTTCCACAAGTCTTCCCGATTCTTGAAGCCAAGGACAGTGCTCTTTGCACGGGGGAAAAAAGGAAACCAAAGCTCAAACCAACAACAACAACAAAATGCCCAACTCAAACCAAATGAAAACAAAACAAAAACCACAGCAGACCACAGCAGTTGCCCTTAAGTCAGTCCCGATGCTTGGTGTCCCCACGTGTATCAGAACAAAACTGTACTCCATGAGTGGCTGGTTTTTCAGAAGTAGATCACCAGGCCTTTCTTCCACGGCACCTCTGGGTAGACTCTAAGTTCCAACTTTTCTGTGAGCAGCTGAGTATTTTAACTGCTTGTACCATCCTGATAATCCAGTAAATAAATAAGTCTAAGGTCTGCTATACCACTGAAAAGTCCCACAGCAGGATTTCCTTAACTTTAAAGTTTAAAGTAATTACCGATGTACACAAGGAAAGTGAAATTCTGTTTTTAATAGTATTCAAGCAACTTAAAAACATCAATCCCAATTGTTATCATATTTGTTTTAAAATGTTCTGCTGTTTCCTTAAACCTGGACATGTTTAGTCTCTTCTCCTGACATTGAACCAAAGATAGAGGATTCAGCATTGAAAGTTCAAAATGACTGTCCTACTTGAGAAAGATCTTACCAGCACACAGTATTCTGAAATCTGGCATTCGGTGGGGAAAGCGTACATGCTTTCCCACACTGCTCTGGCAGCTGTAGTGAGCATAATAAAGAATATATGGTGATAAGTGTTCACTTACCATTATGAGACATCCCCACAGCAAGACATTTCTGAAACCGACAGTACTGGCATTTATTTCTACTTTTCTTGTGGATCCGACAGTTAAGGTCACATCTGTCATAAATAAGCTTCAATCGGATTGTCCTTCGGAAGAAGCCCTGCCAGGGGACATGAGAAAGAGAAGAAGCAGACCTGAAGGCTTGGGTGGCAGGCACCTATAACAACATGTGGCCACAGGAACACTGGCCTGGGAAGAGGGAAGTCCGTGACACAGTTCCACAGCCGGTGACTGGAAACAAGTCATTGTACCTTTCTGAGACTCAAATTTCTTTTGACATTAGATAAAGGGTTAGAAGGTCTCCAGTGTCCTTTAGACACTGACCACATCCAACTGATGCCATCCAGCGTATCTTGGCTCAATATTTGGTTTTCGGCATGCTCGACAAGAGTGCTCTGGATTTAATGCAAGGCAAATAAAGCACCGTGTAATCAGTTCAGTCTCTCTGCAACTTGTTCCAGCAGCGTGCCCCGGTCTTTGCAGTTGTGCTAAGCAGTTTGGCAAAGATATAATCATTTCATTCAAAACCACAATCAGGGCCAATAAAAATCCACATGTGGATCATCGTTTGGAATTCTCTACATTGCCTAATTTCCTGCAGAATTATTTCCTTTATTTCTGCAATCAGAAGAGTGCCCTGAAACCATGATAGGCGACGAACAAAAAGAGATAATAAGAAATCACATGAGACGTAACACATACGTCCACAGGAAATGGACTGCTATCACAAAATGGCAAGTGTGCCAATTTGAGGCTGACGGAGTTCTGGCATGTTAGTACCTTTCGGAAAGAACCGAAGAGAAATTTCTGATCAGACATTTTTTTTTCTTACTCCATTTTGGCTGTTATTTCAATTTATTTCTATTGGGTCCACCTTCGTGGACCTCCATGCTTAATTCTTCCAAATCTAGCGAGTCTCATTGGGTTCCAAACCCACTCCAGGGGACCGGTTCTTCACGGACATATATTTTGAGGTTCTCCAGCCTCCTATCCTGAACTCTAGACAAGCATGCCTGCTGCCTACCTGACACTCCTCCTTGGAAACGTAAGAGCCAGCTCAAAGCCTCCATGGCCCCCAAAATGAGCCCCCCAGTTCCACACCACCCTCCCAGTTCCTCCAGCCCCGCCCTCCATCCCTGGCTTCCGCCTCTCGCCCTTGGAAAGCTTGCTCTTCCTATGCACTTCCCTCTTTCCTTCAGCGCCTTCAGGTGTCGGCTCAGCGCTCATCTTTCGCCATCCTTCATCAGCGCTCTCTGAAACACCTCGTGGCGGCGAGCACCCCTTACGCGCTCTAGTTTTCCTTTCTTCCAAAGGCACCTGTTACTTTCTAAGAGACCACATTCTTTTTAGATGAAATCTATTTCTTCATTTTCTGACAGTGTTCAGCTGCTGTAAATTCTGACCCTAGGGGACAGGGTCGAACTGCTGTCTAAGGCTTCTGAGGCTGTAAATCATTACAGGAGGAGACAGCCTCCTTTCTCCCTTGGAATGGCTGGTGGGTTCTATATTCTGCACCAGGCACACCCCCCGCCCCCCAATCTGCTTTCCTTGGGTAGGAGTGGGGAGTCGAAATGTGTTTGCTTTGTTTCTAATGAGCGGCATTCAAAGTGACTTGCCTTCTTACGTGCTTACCGATATTTTATTTTGAGTTTATTGCTTAATCTTGACCTGTGGGGAGTCTACAGGGTCTAAACCGTGAATTCTTTCCTCTGGAGCGTCTACATCTGATTCTACTGAAAGCCAAGGTCACAAGCAACTTTGGGCAATCTCAGACCTGCTTAAGAATGCCAGCCTCAGTTCCTTCACAGCGACAACTCTTAATACTTCTATAGGCATCTGCCAGTGGGGCAATAATGCCCCTTAGTACTTCTACGAGGCTTCTTCATGAGAGAAATCCTACCCCTTGAAGTCAGTTTGCAGCTCACAGCTCAGGCCCTGGGTGGGTTTTTTGAACTATTGGTTGTTTTTTTTTTAGAATTTCTCTGCCTCTGGGGAGATCAGCAATGTCTCAGAAAATATGTCCTTTGTATGCTGGAAGTTGAGGTTTCTTTTAATTCTCAAAGGATTCTGGGGAAAAGTATTTTTTTTCACTAGTCAATTGAAAGATAATGCACAGGAATATTGGTGAGAAATCTTGTTTTGATTCTTGCCATGGTGATCATATATGTTTTGTAATAGATATGGCTGCTTTTAATATATTTGCTTGTAATATAGTTGGCTGCTTTTCTGATACTCACTTTTCAAAATTATTACTAGTGGTTGACAAGAAGAAAATTGTTTAAATCCTTTCATGCAAATTTTTGGTTTGACACACATGGTATCTTTCAAAAGTATATTACAATTTTCCCTGAAAATCCAAGGTCTTTCAATAATTATTGCAAATATAATTTATGTTCCATATATAAACAATGTAAAGAAATAGATGCAGACCCCAGCACCTATAACTGTATCTCTCTCTCTTTATTTTTAAACATTACCTTCAGGACAACCAATTACTGTCTTGTTTTATAGAAGGAAGTAGGATTCTCCACACTTTCTTTGTATTACAGAGAAAGTCTTTAACAACAGTCCTCTTGATTATTTCAGAGTCCCTCAAACAAGGGGCAATGTCGTGACTGACTCCGCTGGTTATTGTGAAGTTTGTGCACTGGTGTGAGGAGGAGGATCAACTGTCATCTCAGAAACTTGGTTTTTGTATTTATTTACTCTCAGGCCTTCACATTCTTCTGTGAGAAAGCAAAGGCTTCTTCTTCCTTTTTAATAAAAAGGAGCCATCAGGGCTTCTTGCCATACAGCTAGTCGGTGAGAAAGCTAAAGTAAAGAATTCAGATGTCCTAACTACTACCTAACTGCTATTCTGCATAATTATTTTGAATGAAAAGTCCCATTGAGAATTAAGTGACTTCTTATTCTATATAAGTACTGTATAAGGTAAATACTTACAAACAATTGACTCTGTGCCTTGGATTATAAAGCAAACTCAAAAAACTCACTATCAAGTTGATTCTGACTCATAGTGTGACCCTACTGGACAGAATAGAGATGCCCCTTTGGGTTTCCAAGATTTTAAATCTTTACGGAAGTAGATAGTCTCATCTTTTTCCTGTGGAACTGCTGGTGGGTTTGAACTGGTGACCTTTCACTTAGCAGTTCACTATGCCACCAGAGCTCCAGAGTAAACGAAATACTATTTTATTCACTGAGGATAGTTCAGTGAACTGTCTTGAAAGATAATATATTGAAATGTGAATGGATTTTAAAAATTGGACAGAATATTACTGACTATATGAACTGTCCAAGAGATAGCAGTTTTTACAAAGAAAGGAGGACAAACAGAATCTCCCTCCCAAAGAGCTGTCCGTGCTTCATGGCCGTGATTGAGGTTGGACTAAGAAAGCACAGAGTCCTAGCCTAGGAGTCACGAGACAGCTGGTCTAGTCCTAGATCTGTCAGTCACTAATACGGAATGGCCTTGGGCAAGTCTCTCTAATCCTTCATTTCATTTTACATCTAAAATGACCACGAAGTCCCTGGCTAGTGCAAATGGTTAACACACACTGTCATGCTAACGGACAAGCTGGAGGCCTGAGTCTACCCGGAAGCCCCTTGGAAAGACGGAGGAAGACCTGATGACCTACTTCTGAAACTTCAGGCATTGAAGACCCATGGGATACTAGCTACCCTGACACAACATGACATCCCCATGAGCCAGGATCAATTGTTGTTTTGTTCTGTTTTTTAAAGTGACTCAATCAATGTTACTGCTGCTGTGTTGATTTCAACTCATAGTAACCTCATGAGACTGAGTGGAAGTGCCTTACAGGGCTTCCTTAGCTGTAATCTTTACTGAAAAGATTGCTAGATCTTTCTCCTGTGAATCCCCTATCTGTCTAGATTTGAACTGCCAGCCTTTCAGTTAGCAGCCGAGAGTGGAACCACTGAGCTACCAAGGCTCCTCACTCAGTTTTGCAGGATGATAGTGAAACAGAGAGATCGATACGATACATCCTTCAGAAGATGCATGATAAAATGCCATCATTTTCTCACTACCTTTTCAACGAACAGTTTGAAGTCCCCTGACGGTATAGGTACGTGTATCTGGGTGCACAAGTCTGTTGAGGCTTACATCTACAAACATTCCATGGGATCGTGCTACAGTGGGGGAGAGAATTACTGGCGATCCAGGACATTTGGTTTTTGGTGGCAGGCTACCTTGCGATAAAACCTCAAACAAATGACTTGTTAGAAATCTGCAAGATTAAAGGGCTGAAGATCCTCCATGTCCCAAGGGGAAAAGGAAGTCCGCTAGCGCTGCCCTGCTTCTACCGGGTTTCTTAGGATCCCAACTGCCCTGTCACTTAAGAATGAGTTCTGCCCCAAACCCCCAAACGTTTGGCATTTTTTAAAAAATTTCTTGTGTTTGTAAGTGGAAAGAAGTAATAGACACATTTAATTTAAGTGGAAGAAGTAATAAATAGACACATTGTAAGTAGAAAGAAGTAATAAATAGCACATTTTTTTTTAAAGGCAGGAGTTTTACTTTTCTTCCTTTTTTTATTTACCTTGCACCCTTCACAAGCATGAACTCCGTAGTGGAAGCCCGATGCTTTATCTCCACACACACGACATTCAATCGCCATGAGCGAGCTGGAGGGCTCTTCATGGGTCTTGTTGTAGAGCTGGGTCTTTTCGGAATAATAAGGCGGGGAGGCAGGCTCCACTTTGATTGCACCTGTGCACAGAAACATGTGAGCAGATAGTTATCACAGGGAAAACAATGCAAGTCACCAGGGCACACCTCATGACCATATTTTTGTTATTTACATGTAGAAGCACCATGAAACAGTGAAATAAAACACACACACACACACACACACACACACACACACACACACACCCAAACCAAAACAAAACCCACTAGAGTTAAGTCAGGTAAGAGTAGGCTTTATGATTGCAGGCAAGTCACAACATCTCTGAGTCTCACCTGCAAAAATAAAACAGGGGAGGGGAGGGAATTAAGCCGATGGTTCTAGACGCCGTCCATTCCCTGGCACACTGGAGCTCACACAGGCAACCTGCAGAACGTATCAAGCCGGAGGGAACCAAGTTTCTTTTGCTACTTAATGTGCTGTGCTTGGTGTTCATCCCAAATGTTAAACCAGATGTTTTCATTTAGCGCTGCATCTTTGAAGTGTCTTTAAACCCTTCTTGCCACCTTTGCTGTGCAAAGGCAATGGTCTTTGGAAAAAGAGTGTAAAAACCCATGGAAGCATTATTACCATTCTGCTGGGTAGGATCTGGCCTAGTAAATGTCGATATTAAGTTCTAAGTGAAAAGGTAAATATAAGTGTATTATTTATCTAAAACAATAGCAACAACAACAACAAAAACTAGAAATACAGTAAGTTCTTGTTGTGAAGTAATTGTTGTCAATAACCTAGTGGTGGTTTTAGAAAAGTAGCTCTCGCTACACAAGGAAATAAAAATCAAGGAAACAGCATCACAGAAATAAATTTTATCTTGAAACGTGCAGTTTTAGCTTTTCCTTTTGGGCCTGCTGTTTTTAAGTGAATTTAGTTAATGACATGGAGATTTATCAATAGCCTGTAATGACAAAATTTATATTTGTGCTGAAAAATAGGCTTCCATATAAGCTTCTCAAACTGCAAGATAAGGAAGATTGGATTTCAGTGATAATAATTTGGCTCTGATAAGTTATAGAAGGTAACTGGAACTGTTACTACCTTCCAAGTGGCCAAGAGAATTCAAATTTGGACGACAGACCCTTAGCTTGGAACACAACTAGCAATGTAATTTTGCTAGAAAATGCTTCTTGGAAGGAAGGATGGGTAGGAGAGGGGGAGGGGAGGAGAAGAGGGAAGCGGGAAAGAGAGAAGGAGTGAGGGAGGAAAAGAAAGATCTGGGGCATTTAAACAGCTTCCTGTTTAAAACATAGCAAAGATGTATTATTTCATGGAAAGATAGATGAATAAGTGAAATATTCCAGAATTACCAAGAGGTTGTGTAATTCCAGTTTTAGTCATCTGGAAAGGGGAACTAAATATCCTACTTTGGTAGTCTTGGAGCTTCAGGTCATACTTATAGTCAGCCACCATCGGGTCGGCTCTGGCAAAGGGGATGTCTTCATAGTGCGGAGCAGAGATGCTGGAGAAATCCACAGTGGTGAATGGCTTGATGTCAAAGGAGTGAGAGTGATCATCCATTACCGAGAGATCCACGGAACTGATCCCAAAGTTGGTGGGCCAGAACGGCATCTCGGTGTCAACCATGGTCATTCCTGAGAGGGGAACAAGAAGAGTCTGAGTGATCTCCTAACGCCCCGCAAACCAAGAACCGAGAGTCCTTGGTGAAGTGACTCAGCTCATGAGCATCACCACCCTCGGAGCGGCCTCCAGGTTGCTGTGCTAGACGAAGGAAGTCCCATCTTACCTGGCTATCACACCTGACTTGGTTTAACTGAAGTCAGTTCACTATTCAAGAGTGGTGTACTGATTTACTAATTTGGATATTAGTACAGGGAGCCCAGTGGTGTAGTGGTTCGGGTTGAGCTGAGATCTCCATGGTCGGCAGTTTGAAACCACCAGCAACTCCTCGGGGAGAAAGACTGGGCTTTCTACTCCCATAAAGTTACATTCTAGCTATCGAATTGTATGATGTGTGGACTAGGTGCCAATAAAAATGAAAAAAAAAAAAAAAGAAGAAGAAAGAAAGAAAGAAAAAGTTACATTCTCAGAAACCCACAGCGGGGGGTCGCTGTGAGTCAGTGTTGATATTAGGACAGATGCATATAAAAACTAAAGAAAAAAATCCTCAGACATATAGAGTGCTTTTACTTTACATACCTTGTAAGTAGCCCTACTCTCATTGTCTTCCACAGGAGACTATCAATGAGTCTGTATTTGATTTTTCTGAAAATAGATATCATAAGTATTTTTCTCTTTAAAATGAAAATCTTATTACTCCATTTATGTTTATAATGCTTTTTTCCCCTGAATAGAAATGTTGGGTGTGTACTAAATCTAAGTAAATCCATTAATTCTTAAACTGCTCCATAAAATAATTTTAAAGTGATACTAAAATAAATCTTTAAAAAAATGTGAAGGTCCCTGAAAAGTTACTCAAATTTTTATTTTTTAAAATGTAGATATTCGTCTTATTAAAGCAGAAGAAGCTTTCCTGAGATCGATGGCCATGAGGCTGGAGATTCATAGAAACGTTTGCTTATCATGGGAAATGTTCAACGTGGGACTCAAACACAACCTTAATTCTACAGCACCCCCAAATAAAAACAAAACACAGAACAACGTGTATCATAAATTGCCTCCCTGTGATGACAAATGCTGCCTGCGTTTCTTGAACTGTGGTCACCGTACGAGGAATAGCACCCGGACGGGTCTGGTTCTAAGTATTGAATGAAGACTGTAACATATTGGAACAAGCGGACTTTAAACCTTCTGACTTGGGTTTACCTGAAACGGGTCCACTATTCAAAAGTGGTGCCCCAACGGCAGACACTAGAGTGTTGCAGTCAGTTGTTAAGGCCCTCAGTGGAGAGCTGTGTGACTCAGGACTGCCGACTTTGGAGTGAAAGACACGCTTTGCTCATGAACCACAGGGGCTCCTGGAACACGCATCTCTGTCTCGTTCACAGCCATAGGCCCACCATCTAACCGAAGGCGTGGCTCATAGTGGTGGTCACTCAAGATTCATTTAGTCAATAGTAAATGAATGGATGACTAAATTCATTTTGTTGATGGCTATACAATTTTAACCAGAAAAGCGAGAACAGGTAAAAAATAGACTAATATTTATTGAGTACCTCCTATGTACCAGACACATCCCCCCCGCTCCCCATAATTCCTGAGATATTATCCCCACTGTATGGAGAAGGAAGCTGGAACTAGAGAGGTGAAATGACTTTCACAAGCTCCAATAGTTAGTGAGGAGGATTCAAACATAAGGCTGATTCAGAAACTCAACTCCCTTTAGTCTCTCATTCATGAAAACGTTTGTGGAGGAAGAGCTATTCTCTTTGGCATGTCTGGGAGTGGCTCTCTCGCTTTTTTTCAGCGTGAAGAGAGCTAAGCAACCTTCTCCCGGAAAGCGAACTTTTGCGTGAGATCAGAGATATCAGTGGTGGCCTTTGTGAGGGAAAACAATGTGTCTTGAAAGCCCTTGTGAACGTGCTCCAGTGGTGCCCAGCGGGCGAAACAGGGACGTTTGGGTTCCCATGTCTAAACAGCTATATAAATAGGCACCCAAGCCACCGGAAGCTGTCTGTGTTACAGTGTAAACACTGCACACCAAAAAGAGGAATGTGTACTCCCTGACAGCTTAAAGGTCATACTGGGTTCTCAATGACATCAAGAAAGGCTGTGCTCTTACTGACAGGGCACCCGCCCAACTGTGTGCTATGTTTCAAAATCCAGCTCAACTTGCCCAGCACAGGTCACCCCACCTACTGTGCTCTTCTCCTCATCATGCTTAATTTGTCCATTTCTTTCTTTCTATCCATTTCTTTATCCATTTTATCTTGTATAAATGAATTTCATATATAATACCCATTTACTTCTTTTGTCAATGGTAATATCCATAAAGGTAGGCTAATCAGACATTTGTCATTATGCTTATTGCAAAGTTATTCTTCATGCAAAATAAAAGGGTGACTACAGTGATTTATAAGGCGCCTTGGTGGTCTAGTGAGCTAAACACTGGGCTGTTAACTGAGAGGTCAGTGGTTCAAACCCACTGCTGCTCCAAGGGGG